GTGGTGGCTGTGAGCTCTGACTCAAAAAAAAAAAGGGCAGCAAAACTCTTCTGCCTCATAGCAATAGCCCAGGAACTAACATATACTCCTTTTCCATTTTTCTTTAAATAATTTGGTTTAGATAAAACATAACCTCATGCTGGGGGGGAAAAAAGTCTTTTACTAATGTTCTGTAAGCTGTGCGGTTCTGCTCCGAGAGGCCTCAGAACTCTGCAAGGAGATCCTGGCAAGGCTAGACTTCCTAGCAAAATTCAGATTTTAAAAGAAATCCAAATGCTCTTCAATTATCTCAGAACTACTCTGGTCTCCCATAGTCAAGGCCTTAGTAAATTCTACTTCCTTTCAGAGAATCAAAGGAAGTAGAATTTACTAAGGCCTTGACTATGGGAGACCAGAGTAATGGTTCAGCACTCAGTTGAGTTCCATCTCAATGCCTATCTGTCTCATTCGAAAAGGTTATCAATCAATTTAAATACCTGCCTAAGCAAGATTGACCTGAACACTAAACAAGGAGAGAGGCTCATTTCAAAACTTGCTAGTTTGTAAAAATTGTTGGGGCACTGAAATTATATTATTGAGATTTTCTTCAAAATATCTGGTTCAAGGAGGAAAGTAGGGACACAGAGGAAATAAGATCGGCCATTGGTTTATAACATATTTCTCTCTACATCTGTATGTTCAGAATTTTTCACAAGAAGTTACAATGCACACACGCACTCTCTCTTCAAGACAAGCATTTTTCGCCAGGCACAGCGACTCATACCTGTAATCCCAGCACTTTGGGAGGCCGAGGCAAGAGGATTGCCTGAGCCCAGGAGTTTGAGACCAGCCTGGACAACACAGCAAGACCTTGACTCTACAAAAAAATTAAAAAATCAGTCAGGCATGATGGTGCACGTCTGTAGTCCCAGCTACTCAGGAGGCTGAGGCAGAAGAATCACCTGAGCCCAGCAGGTCAAGGCTGTGGTTGAGTCATGACTGTGCCACTATACTCCAGCTTGGGCGACAGAGTAAGACCCCAACTCAAACAACAAAAAAAGATACTACTAGCCAGGCTCGGTGGCTCAGCCTGTAATCCCACGCCTTTGGGAGGTTGAGGTGAGTGGATTGCCTGTGCCCGCGGGTTCGAGACCCGCCTGGGCAGTGAGACCTCATCTCTAAAATAAACAAACAAATCAGCCGGAGCCCAGCAGGCAAGGCTGCGGTGGCCGGGAGCGGCCACTGCACTCCAGTCTGGGCGTCAGAGTGAGACTCCAACTCAAAAAAAAAAAAAAAATGTTAAGAAAAAAAGATACTACTTTTTCTGGCAAAACACCCATCTTGTGGGTATTTCCCAATAATAGATTCTGTAGCAGTTTGTTTCCAATGCTTGAAAATGCCTTTATTTGGTAGATTTAAAACTATTTACTGGGATAGGATCCTAATACAGGGTGATCAAGTAGGAGAGAGGCTCAAAGTCAGTTCGTTGGGATGGTTCTCTCTCACTCTCCTTTTAAGAGATGAGGTCTAGCTATGTTGCCCAGGCTGGCCTCAAGTAATCCTGTGCCAGCCTCTTTAGGATCAATTTTTTAAAAAAATTCTTTAATTTGGTTATAGAAGTAAATGCCTGAGATGGTTGCACAAAGCCAGTATTTTCCTCAAAGCAAACTCTACACTTTTTATATAAATCTAGCTTTTAACTTGTTCCATTGTCATGCTAAGAGACTAGTAAAATGGAGTAAAAGTTGTGTTGTTCTTGCTTCCAGTGGGTACTCACTGTCTTCTTAGTGAAAACATCCTACACATCATTCCAGCAATGGGGAAGGATTCATATATGCCAAGTGAACAATTCCTCCCACTGCCTCTGCACAACTATCAGAATAGTAAGAAAGGCAAATAAAGCTAGAGTGACAGGAAAGTATGCTTCAGAGTTCTTTTCAACTGGGAAAAAGCATAGCCTTTCTCCCCCATGAATATTAATAGTTCTATAGTTTCACCTAAGTCCACTGTTGCCATTGCCAGACAGCTATTTGAAAAGTCAAGGACAGCAAAATACTAGATCTAGTACTGAATGACAGTAACGTTCTGGAGCAAATTACAGTAACAAAGACATCAGTTTTCCTTTCATTTCCCAGAACATTACAAAAGACATCAAACTTACAATCTAAAAGGTTAAGCAAGCACTTATACTCTTTCTACACGCTTTGCTTTTTGAGGACTCAAAAAAAATTCATGTTTGGTATTATTTAAGGATTATGGTTATTTGACTTCATGGAATTAAGCCTGGCCTGCATTGCCTCACAAAAAAGTACTAAAACATTAGAATTCAGAAATTTGATTAAAGGGCTCACTACCACCCACCCAAGGTAAAAAATTCTACTCCACATTGGTAACCTCTGAGGAAACAAAAGCTTACTTGAAAATGACCTTATCTGGTAGACTTTACTGGGATAGAATCCTAACAGAGGGTGAACGGGTAGACAAGAAAAACTCAATTAAGTCAAGTCTTTAGGTTCTCTCTAAATGTTTTCCTTTCAAAACACAAACCTCAGCGTAAATAGACACTGGTAATGGTGCTTAATCCTTCTGACCTTAGAAAAATCATAAAATGTGGCACCACAAAATAAACCCCAAACACTAGATCTAAACAGCCAAAAAATATTTTCCATCAACCCAAAAAATTAAAATGAGACAGATTTAACATTTACTGAGTGTAAAACAAGTGTCAGACAACCCTCCTTAGTGTTTGATATATTATCTCATTTAAAGAGCAAAATAACCCTCTGGGGTAGGTCTTATAATGACCATTTACAGATTGATAAACTATAATTTGCTTATGATCATGTGTCTAGAAAATGTCAAGGCAACAATATAAACCCAGGTTTGTCTGATTGCAAATCTCAGTAATCAAACTACCCCATAGATAACATATCTTGGGACTCTTGGAGAAACTCAACAGGAATAAACTAACATTTCTTTTTTGAGTTGGAGTCTCACTCTGTCACCCAGACTGGAGTGCAGTGGCCGCTCCCCGGCCACCGCAGCCTCGACCTGCAGGGCTCCAGCGATCCTTCCAAGTAGCTGGAACTACAGGCACGCGCTACCATGCCCAGCTAATTTTTGATTTATTATAGAGATGAGGTCTTCCCAAGTTGCCCAGGTGGGTCTCGAACCCGCAAGCTCAGGTAATCCACTCACCTCAGCCTCCCAAAGGCGCGGGATTACAGGCTGAGCCACCGAGCCCGGCTTAAACTAACATTTCAACATGGGAATATAATGGACAAGTCCAGCTTCAAAACTTCAAAGACAGCTTCAAAGATTATGTAAAAGAAACAGGTTAATTATATAGAAGAAATTCTGCACTGAGAGTGACAGGACAAGATGATCCCTTACAACTTGTACATGTATATCCCCAAAATTAGTTCCAAGTGATCAGAATTACATTTGTCAAGATCGACACCATTTAGATCCCCAGGCAGATTATTCCATGTCAGTCCAGACTACTCCATGCAAGCTTCATTTTCTGGGACTTCTTTCCCAATATCTCTAATCTTATCTTTGCCATTTGTTATCTTATTCCCAATTTTCACAACCTATCTTAACTGCTGCTCCTCTCTTCACGCATGGAAAAAGTGAAAGAACAAATTTAAACCCAAATCTGGAAACCTGCTACAATGTAGAGGGGTAACTATATCTTGTAATGAGGCTGGTAACACAATCCATACTCACATTTATATAACATGTAAAGGAGGCTATGTTCGGCCAATAATATTACTACTCACATATTAGTTCCAATGTGCGCAGTAATTCCTAAACCTCAGGCTGTTCAGTAAATTGGATATCCACCTCATCAGACTCAGGAGAAAAAGGAAAAGCTCAAACAACAGCACTATTAAGTTCATAGTGATTACCAAGCTTAAAATTTTCAGCTCAGGCAGAAAGATTTGCAGGGTTCTCTGTGCGGAAGGGTAGAAGTTAGGAGAATAAAATATTCTCCTAAACTACCAAAAATTATTTTTTGTTTCACACAAAACTTTAGTGTCACAAACATAATCAGATGTAGAGGACTGTGTTAATAACAGTCTTGAGACTTTTGTAGCTACTCTAAAACACAAACACACATACACACAGAAGTAAATGTCATCTAAAGCATATGATAAGCCCTCAAGAGTTTTCAGAAGCAATCGACGAAGGTAAAAATAATACAGATCTACAAGGCCTAAGAAAAAAATAAACCCTGGTCCGTCATCTACTACAACCACCAAATCTTCAGTATTTCCTTATCTGTCGTTCATACATAGATGAATAACTGCCAACTCTCCGTTTTTCAGGTCGCTGTGTGGACTGCCCAGGTTTCTGTCCACTAAATGTGGGCTATATCAGCGTTCAGTTCATCCTTTTTACCACAGGGTGAGGGAAGGGAGAGCTAAAAGTTATTTCACTTTACTGTTTCTGACTCGTGTGGGGGGAAAAAAGGCTGAAATTAAACAATATTTCACTTATCTAACCACTCGAACAAACTCTGTAAGTGGGCCTTTGGGGCCATAAATGAGTTTACTGGCCCTGGCCAGACCCGAGGTTCGAGAAGGCAGGCGAGTTTCCAGACTTTCCATATGGGACAAGCCAGGGGACTCAATCCGCAACTTCCTGGTCTCCTTCGGGCGAGAGGGTCTGGACCCCGAAGCTTGCACGTGGGCCGGCCCCGCCGATGCTGTCACCTTACGTCGCCACTTGGCGAGAGGGATTCAGGCTGGAGCGCAGACCATCAGCTGGGGCCTGGGCCGCCGCTCGCGGCGAGGGAGTCAGGGAGGCCACGCTGCGCGTCTCCGGTCCACATGGCCCGCAAGCGGAGGAGGGGAAGAAGGCACCGCGGGGCCCTACGCTCGCGCCTGGACCCGAGGCCCGCAGGCCTGGGCGGCGCCCCTGGGCCCGGGTCCGCCTGCCAGCCCACCGGCAGGCAACCCTGTTCGCCAGAGTGTCCGCCCGCTCCCGCGCTGCCCGGCGCCCCGGCTCGCACCCACCTTGACGTCGTCGTCCTCGTCCTCGCCTTCCCAGCGGTCCCCGCCGGCGGTGCCGCCGGCCCCCACCTTCCGCACCGGGTCTTCCACGGAGAACGCG